CTGTTCTGGCTGCCTTGGTGTCCTGAACTGACTGAAAGCATTTCCCTTTCTTGGTCGTTTTGACTTTGGAGAAGAGCCAGCCAGAAGTTGCACAACGCCAGATCTCATGAGGAAGGCGAATGACACGAGGTCGTGTTTGAGGAACCTGCCCATGTGTTGGATGGCGCTCGGCAGCACCATCCTCTGTGTTTTCTTTACCGCACCTCATAGAGACACCCAGGAGAGCAGACTTCCAGAGCTGCTGCAGGAAGTGGCAGGAACGGTGCGATGAGTGTGTTCACTGAGGGAGAATATTCTGAGGAGGACTCACGAGGACGCGTCTTTCATTGTAATAATTATTTTTAAAAATTTAAACATTCACTGTATATTCCATCCACACTTCATAGAAAGAAAAACAGAGTGAAAAGAGTACTGGATGTAAAGATAGGGATATGGCTTTTTATCTTGCTGGGCAACCTTAAGAGGATCACTTTTCTTCTCTATATTGAAGGGGTTGGACCAGATGATTCCCTCAATATCTAAAATATTTTGTTACCTCAACCAGAGTGTTAGCTATATTAATGCAAGAAGCAAATGTATATTTGTATCCTCCATGCTTCACAAGGCATTAGAGTATATTGAATTTAGTTGAGTGTGCTTGATAAGAATAGAATAGAAAGGGGATGGGGTGAGGACCAAGGGTGCAGGGCACAGCCCAGGCAGGACCTTGGTGAGGAGCGTGGTGAGTCATGAGCTCTCCAGACACAGACAACCAATAGAATTTTGAGCAAGACAATGGCACTGACTACTATGCAGAGAAGAGACACTAAATGTGTGGAGGAGAAGACTGAACTGCTGAATGAGGAAAGTAAAAGGCTGATAGGAGCTTGCACTAAGGTAATTGTACAAACTGTGTGAAGTGGTGACATTTTGAAAAGATGCATAAAATTCAAGACTGACCCTGAGCCACTGAATGAATGAGGGAGAAGCAAGCTTTTGAAGAGTGGCACAATGTCAGGTTTTGGATGGCTGCATGTAAGCGTAGATATCCAAGTGAGCATGTTCATATGCAATGGAGAGTTGGCAGCAAGTAAGGGTATTTTATGGCATGGTATGTGGGCATAAGTGTAGGCCTTTGAGAATGGAAAGCCATTTGAATTTCAGCATGAATGAAACGAACGTGATGGTGTACATGTGGTAGGTCAACGTTAATGTCCTTGTCTGCAGATATCTGTGCTATCTAACTAACATGGGTTCTATTACTCCAAATACCCATGACTCAGAGCAGATTTCCATCCTAATAGCCTAGTATTCTGCATTAATATATTAATGCAAATGTATTAATGGGCATGACTTACCTGCCAATTTATTTGTCTCTCTTACTAGACCAGAATTTAACACGGTACAACAGGATGTGAGCCTATTATTGTACAGGGTGTTATACTAAGTAAATAAATGAGTGTTCAGCATGTTTTATGTTCCCTGAGAGCTAAGGATTCACATGGAAAAAAGGCCTCCAAAAGCAGCCCAAAGAGAAGTGTTTGCCTGAAAATATTAATGTGAATACCAGTGAATGGAAAATGCTGGTGTGCTAAGTAAATTTCTTCAGGACAATGTCTTCTTAAATGGGTCCTCTTCTGTGCCTAGGAAGGAGTTATGCAAGAAATGCCCACTTCACTGGGAACTAAGAATGGACTCCTTCGTCTACCCACCCATCCACCCATCCACCCATCCATCCATCTGGAGTCTGTTTGCTCAGCACTCACCACGAAAATCTGCGCTGTGTCAGATGCAGGAAATCCAAACATGACCTGGTCATTAGCCTCGCTTTCAGGGAGCTGGTGTCCAGAGGCAGAGAGAGCCATATATAAATACACAGTGTCCATGGAACGAGAGGTGAGAGTCTAGAAGAATATACAAAGCTGTGGTGTTACAGATCATGAAGTAACTACTGACGGCTTCCTAAAACTCAAGCCAGTTGACCTGGGATTACTCGGAGACAGGAGCAGGACTGTAACGCCTTGAGTGACGGACGGTCTCTCTTGGAGAAGTCACTTCATTTATGGTCAGCACTAAACATTAATGTTCACTGACTGGACTGCTTTTGAGAAGAGAAGTGACATGTTAGAGTTCACTGGTCTTTCTTTGCAGATCTGAGCAGAGCACAGGCTTGGGCATGTGAAGATTTCTGGGACATGACATGGTAGGAGACGCATGGGCTTTGGTGTCTAAGAAATCTAGTTTAGACCCCCTTAACTCTGTAGTTTATCACTGGCTCGTCCACAGCTGGGACGAATTGATCTCTTTCCCCTCGAAAGGAGCCTCTTCCCTCAAAGGAGAATACCCACTGTGCAGAGCACCTTTTTGAGAATTAGCACCTTTAATTCTCCCCATGACCCTCTGAAGGAGGCACTCTCACAACCCCAGTTTTACAGATGAGAAAACCAGCTCAAGGCGCCCAAGGCACTTGTCCCCAGTCACACGGCTCTTTCCGGGGACCTGGGAAGGGGCCACCTTCCTCCACTGTACCTTCTGACCTTCTTTCCAGGTCCGTGGTGTGAAAAACACTGGTGGGAAATAGCTAGCTCGGGGCAGGAGCATGGACGTCCTCTGACTTGGTGTGTGATTCATTAGGTCAAATACTGATTTGGCAGATTATAGACAGAACAAAGACACAAGGCCAGCTCCGGTTTCCCGGACTGCTCCCGTCTGAGCCCACAGCCTTTATGGCCTGCTGAGGAGCAAGGGTGGGCCTGCAGCTCACAATTCAAGACCCTGGGTGTTCAGCGGGTAATAAAGCCACCCAGAAGCGGAGGTGCTTTTGCTCTGTGAAGCCAGACTCCTCGCCCAGGAAGAGTGGGCCGCCTGATTCCTTCGCCTGGTCCCACATCACACCTCAATCTGCCCTTGATTGGACCTAGATGAACCACCCTTTCCTCGGAGCAGGATCAATTTAACCAATTTGTCTGACTTCGGCGCTGCTGAGACCAGTGCCTGGGAGCAGGGATTGGCAGAGGGCTATCCTCTTCATGCAATTCTGGATTTAATTAAACCGCTCCTTGTTTGATTAGCAAAACTTCCCTCAGTTGCTAGACACTTACGTGAGCGAAAGGACCTCCTGATGTCGGACAATGACTATTAAATGGTGCAACCAGGCCCCCCCAAATAAATAAATAAAAGAATGACTCCTGGGGGAGAAACAGGATTTTTCTCCCTTCGCTAGAAACGGATTTCAAATATAATTTACTGTTTCTTCTTGGCCGAAGGGCCTCTCTCCCCGTGAATCCATGGGTTGCTGGGAGGAGCGCCATTTCTTCCCAGAAAGCCAGGCCTAAAATTAACTCGTTTAGATGCTAAGCAGAGGGGCAGCCGTGCTGGTGGGAAGAGCAATTACTTTCCCTGGGTTGCCTGCACGCTGGCTCGTTCAGCTCGCTTGACGCTCTGAGCCCTGGCTGGGTCTGGAAGAGCAGCTCAGTCCTGGGGGGTGGGGTGGGTCTGAGTTTCTATTTCAGCCAAATCGGTGATATAAAGGAGAGAGCCTGGTGGACTCATGACGTGCCAGGCTGTGGAGCCCGTCTGTGGAGGCAGGCAGGCTGCTTCCGGAGAGGAGGGCTGCAAAAGCGGGCTTCGATCAGCCCCCCTCTTGGGAGTCTGGGTGCACTCGTGCACACGTGGGGCACCTGGGCGGGACCCACGAGCCTCGGAGTTGTACCTGAAGGAGCCTTGGTGTGCGAGGCTGCTTCTGGGGTGGCTTCAGCTCCCAGCCTTGCAAAAATCAGTGCCGGAGGAGCTGTGGGCCTGGAGCCCCAGGTGGAGGTGGATGGGGTGGGGGTGGTGCAGTGTCACTGTCACTTGGTGATGGCCCCAAATGTGTAGCCTCTTCACTGAGCTTGGCTGTGCTCGAGAGGGACGCAGGGCAAAGTACACACTGGATCTCCCCATTCTGGGATGAGGAGAATCAATCTTGCTCCACGTATGGAACAGGGCCAAAGCAATAAACCCACCAGCTGCTCCGGGGCCTCGGGAAGGGGACAGGAAAGGAGGGGTGGGGAGTTGGAGGCCTTTTCTTATTTCCTCCCCTCAACCTGTGGGAACCCATTCTATATAGATTACCTCACAAAGGGAGGGTGACAGGGGCAGATGTATTGTTGTAGACTGAAACTCAGTGATCAGTTTCCCAAAGAATACACCTTTCTTTTGGGAGAATCAAAGTAAAACTCAAACTATGTATGCTTACTAAGTACATCGAGTTTTTACAACCACATCGTCTTTGTAACCATGCCAGACCTCGGGTATTTGGCCAAGTAGCATAATTTTGCCATGGAGAATTTAATTGTGTTCAATATTTAAAATTTTTTTTTCTGAGAATTTGGCAAAATAAAATGTCGAGCGTCTCCGGTAGCATCGTTTATGGCTGTTCTTGACACAGTCCTCTACTTCCAACCTGTTTTCCGAAGAATATAAGTTCCAAGGTATCCACAAAACATGCGTGGTAAAGATAAATTAGCAGAAATTCTGTGTGGTGTGAAGCCAGATAGGCTTCCTTCCTATGTGCACTTTTTGAGACATTGTTATGCCAGTGTTTGTGAGAACCTTCCAGTCAGAGAGACTTCAGGGAAAGACCTGCAAAAAAATGGGTTTAATCCCAGGAGGGCTTTCTGGATGAGCAGTGTGCAGAGCCAGTGTTGGCCACAACATGCTTTGGGACCTGCTAAGGTGAGTCTAGTTCCCCAGGAACTCCTCAAGAGGACACGTCCTGCAGCCAGCCTTGGGACGTCTAATTATATGGTGGTACTGAGATTCCTCTTCTAGTTTGGGATTCAGAGTTAAATGGTGGAGATGTCCCACAAGACTTGAGAACCTAGGAGAACCCTGAGCTTTCAGCTCTACTCAGGGGCAAGAGGGGTGGAGCCCACTTCGCCCCAGAAAGGGAGGGAGGGACAAGTAAGCAGTGCGCATGTGCTAGATGTTATATTCAGCATTTCATACAAGTTGTCTGCTTCAGTCTGGACTTGCCTACCTAGGATTGCTATCGCCACCGCCACCTTACAGCCAAGGAGACTGAAATTAAGTACGATGCCCTGCATAGTGAGCGGTGAGACTAGGGTTAAGATAAATCCAATGGTGTTTTGGGAACAAAGTGAGGCAATCTGACTTTTAGCCACCACATGTGTTGACACATCTAGATATCTTGTCTCACCTAGGGTCACAGTCTGGTGGAGTCCCTGAACTTCACTGCACCATTGGATGAAAATCAGCAGCAGAATGAAGATTAGCTTGGTAAGAGTCCAACCACCTTGCTGAGGTATGGGCTGGGATTCGTAAGGTTTGGGTTGCTTGAGTATGGAGTAGCTCCTCAGCAAGAGGCCTCATGGGCGAATGGGGAGAGTTTGACCTTGTTTGTAGTAGCCTCCATGGCTCTTCTCTGAAAAATCCCTCTTGTACCTTGCAAATGGCGACCTCGAGTTCCTCTATTGCTGTTTTTTTTTCTTTTTGCTTAAAAATTATATTCAAGAACAATAAGGAATTGGACTATCCCATTGGGTAACACTTTTTAAATCTTTCCCAACAACCACTAGAATAACAGGGCATCTTCGTAGGTAAGACAGGTCAGGGATTAACTAGCACTGCATTTCTCATAAGAATTCTATGTATTTCTTAACATTGGTTCGAATTATTCCATTTTATTTTGTTGTGGAATCTCAGGAATTTCTGATATCAAATCAAAAGTTTGGAAAGGACCGAAGATTACTTTTATTTTATTTACCACTTTCAGATTACCTTTTCTTTTTTCCTTCACTGAACTAACTCTGACAAGGGAAGCTCAATGCTTATTATCAGTCATGCTTGGAAAACTGTAAGCATCTAATAACACATCAGACACCACGAGCTAAACATCCCAGGTGAATCATGCCCTGCAGTTTGTTGTCAGGTGGCCTCATCCCAGAGAAATACTAGATTAGCCAACCTGGTTTGTAACAAAGAATTGGTGGTCTCGGTGTCAGCCTTACTCAACTAGTGAACAATACTTTTTCAGCTAATCCAACTGAATGAGGCATTTAAGCAAACAGAAACTAAAAGTTAGGAGTCCTACCCTTCAAGGAGCAGGGACATCACTCACATGCACATTCGCACACTTCTGGGGTACAGTGGATGAAACTGTCACAGCAGGGAGAGAGTTGGGACAGTAGAAAGTGTGAGCCTCAGTAGAGAGGGGAGGCTGGATAAACAGTAAGTGGAGTTTATTGTAGAAAGCAGATTCCATTTCAGATGACTCAGTCCCAGTAAATTGGTGGTCTGGGAGTAGCTGAGATAGATTCAGACAAGCTGTAAGGTGGTCTTGAAGGTACTACATCTCCAAACCCATTACTGATGAGAATGCAAGTTTTGTTTTGTTTTGTAGTGGGGATTGAACTCCGGGCCTTGTGCTTGCAAGGCAAGTGGCAGAACCACCCAGCTAAATCCCTGGTCTAAGAATACAAGTTTTTTGAGAACAAGGAAGAGCCCCCCCAACTCCCTCTCTGTCCCCACCCACTGTGTCTATCTCTCTCTCTCCCCTCTCTCCCTCCTCCCTCCCCTCCTTTCAGGTATTGGAGACTGAACCCAGGGGATACTGAGCTATATCCCCAGCTCTTTGTACTTTTTAAAAATGCTGAGGCAGGGTCCTGCTAAGTTGCCTAGGTGGTCCTTGTGATCCTCTCTGCCTCCTGTGTAGCTGAGATTAAAAGCGTGTGAAACTTCACCTGGGTGTGGGAAAGATTTCTGATTTCCATCATCACCTTGCCATGCAGCCTGTCTGGGGTACAGCAGGTGTCCAGTAGATTTTTGATGAGGAACGAAACTCATGTCGTCCTTGACACTAAACTTGCATCCTTGAGCCCCAGGAGGAAGTGGGGTGACCAGTTAAATGAAGGAGAGCAGTTAAAGGGAAGAAGAGTGAGAAGAGTTTGTTCATAAAGCAATCCTATGAGCCTAATCATGAGTCTAATCATAAGAATCTGTATGTACATTTATTTCTGAAAAATCCAATGTATAGAATTTTACTCCCTCATTTTGTAAGGACACAAACAAAATACACTCTTTTTTCATGAAGTCCTGCAAAGGATTCTACATAATGGTCAAGTGGAATCTATGCCCCCATTTGAAATCTTGACTCAAGATTATTTTTTCTAAATTAGCAAATTGAACAGTATTATCCACTCTCCTAATGTCTCATTATTTTATTTACTGTTCTTGATGAAAAAAATCAGCTTTCAGATAGCTACAATGGTGATCCATTCTTTAATTTTCATGAAACCAAAGTGCAACTTGAAACACCCATATAGCATCGTAGCGCTGAAAGAGGAAAAATTCTGTCCACAGCCTATGGATTCTCTAAGAAATGGAAATGGAGACACATGGCTTCCGGTCTCTGGACAGTAAAGGTGGGACTCAGCAGATAAACTGTCATCGTGCCGTGTTTTAGCAAAGTGACACTGTCCCGGAAAAGCCACACAGGCACGGTGGCATGATCCGACAAGAAAACTCTTGGAAATGAAACAGATCTGATTCAGTCCATGTGGCCTGCTACGTTAAGATCTCTGAGCCTTAGTTTCCCCTTCTGCAAAAGAGAAAAGCAAAGTTCATCGCAGTAGGTGGTGGACTAGTAGAGATGCCACACATCGTGCTATGACTCACAGCGGATGTTCAAAGTCCCTAACTGCCGTTTCCATGGCTGACATCCATGGCACCAGCATACCAAGACTTTGTGCTTGCTTCTTTAAGTCCTCCTGGAGCATAACAGAGTGGAATGTGAAACAAAAGAAAAACCCATAACCGATCAAATATTTTTAGTAGCATGAGTTTATAAAAGTTTAATTTCTAAATTTCCATTCCATTTGACATGCATAGTAACTTTATGGACGTCACTTATGTACAAGGATTGCAACACATTACTTTTAAAGTTTTGACTCCACATCAGAGGATACAGTAAAACAGAAATACACAGCTCAGTGGGGTTTTTTTCAACTAGATGCTGATCTTGCTGTGGCCCCAATACTGGGAAAGAGAGACATTAAACACGGAGGGGGGGCTGTCTGTCCCCTGCAGTCCCTCTCTAGTGCCTGCCCCTGTTGTGACCTCCCTCTGAGTCATAGCACTGCAGGTTGATTGGCTCAGTTTTTATGCTTATGGAAATAAGTACGATTTTGTGGCTAAACTAAACAAGTCATGCTTTTAAGCATCTAACGAAATGATTGTGTCCTAGCCACTACATGTTCAAACTGACCTGGAAAACTTACATTTTCAGATCTGACCAAAGCCTTGGTTTATTAGTAGATAGATCATTTAAATGAGGGTCATGACACTGCTTAATAGAATTATTTCTGTTAATAATCGCCATTAATGATTAACATGCACAAATCATTAATGAATTTTAAAATGAAACCATAATTTCCTGGTAATAAAAAATAGATATAAGTTGTAGAACATTGCAAAGGGATAATTTTTTCAAAGTATATGTACATATATTATATATTATATGATGATCTAAATAAATAGTGACTTTAAATTTTTTAAAATGAGCATAGAAAAAGACACATGGCCAAAGACACATTTGATAGGTGTGTTCAAACTGAGGGGAGTAGTTTGAGTATTTTGATTAACGGCAGTGTATCTTTTATTGTAATGGTTTTAAAACATTCCCCGTATTTCTTGATCACCTCTTCACGTATTTACGGCAGTTTTTCCTGAACAGAAACATGGCGCTGTGTCCTCGTCTGCCTTATTACTCACTGGATCTGGAACGGTGAGACTTCCAGCTCTTCCTCAAAGTCAGAATGACCATGAAAGGGAAGTATTTGGACTTAATTCAGGATGTTCAGTGCTGCCGCTCCAGCGCAACTAGACACTCGCGAAAAAGGACTTTAGAGGTACTTCAGATGGTGTGGCCAAAGCAAGCAGAAGGATTTTGAGGGGTATCAGTGGCATGTCTTTTATGGCAACAAAAGTTTTTAATTTTTATTTTAAAAGTCACCATAGCTTTTGAACACACCTCATATATCTATACATATATGAGTGTGCATGTGTGCGACCAATCAGCAGGGGAGTCTTAATCAACCTTACAGAAATGCCATGCATAAGCAATCCAGGCATCCACCGTGCTCCTGGGAGAGAGAGAGAGGCCCACCTGCCCCGGGAGAAGCTGCCCTTTCTTTTACTAGGCAACCCACAATCCTTCGCGCATGGAATCAGCTCACCATTTCGGGACACTGCCCTGTTAATGACGTCCAAAGCGGGCTGTAAGCAGTGCAGGCTGGGGCTAACCCTGAAATTGGCTGGGTTAAAAAAGTGAGTCTGGCTGAAGCCTACGTGAGTCACAGCAACACTGCAGACGGTAAACAGGTCAGTACCAACCCCCTGCCAACGGCCACGGCAGAGGCCAGGGAAACGGCCCACGAAGTTGTGGAGCTTGATAAGCGATAAACAACAGCCCAGGTTACAGTGACTCTTACCCAAGTTCTGTTTCCAGAATCAAAACCTTCTTAACTGAAAAGTCAAGGTTAATCATTAACCACGGTCTTGTCTGTTCTGTTCCTAAGAGTGCTTCATCTCTTCTTTTATAAGTCTTGCCTGCATCCAACTTATCCTTAGCAACCCCACATAGCCTCCTTACCCCAATTTAATAAATGATCGTGTAACCAATAGATATAAGTGGTTCTGGCTGTTCAGGGTCTTTGCTGCTCACTCAGTGTTGACCATCCCAGTTCCCTGTTTCTTTTTCATTCTGTCTCTCTTTCTTCTCGCTTTGTCCCGTAGCAGTGAGCAGGATATTGGGAACCTCTGCAGGGCCTTCTGTTGCACCCCCACCCCCGTAATCAGAGTCCTTATGGTTCATATGGAAGATACAGTGGGGGGAAGAAGTCAATAAATTTGTGAGCAGCCTTTACCTTTCACTGCCAAACAACCACAAAAATGTGACATTTCTGACAGTTTAAGGTCCCGTGCTAAATGGACACACTTGCCACCTACCCCAAATACACCTGCTCCAATGTGACTTCCCCATGCAATACTGTGGTTTGGTCATGGCCCTGGGGGAAATAAAAGTATTGGTAAGAGAATGACATAAGAGATCTTTGCCCAAGCATGATTTTAAAGGGCTTGAACCAAGGTAGGGAGATGATAATAAAGAACAGAGACTCATGTGTTCAGGTATATGTGCTTCCAGTAGAATTTCTAAGCCCATGCAATTTTCTGCAGTGGACTAGAGAGAGATTTATATTGATTTAGGAACTGAATAAAAATATGGAAGTTTTTAGCTTTTTACTGTCAAAAATACAAGATGGGGCATTTTTTTTTTCAAGCAGTAGTGGTGTGTGGGTCGTGACTTCAAGACATGTGAAATTTAAAGTACAACCTCAAACTAAGAGGCTATTTCAAATATACAACCACAATTCAACCCATTTTTAGGTAGAAAGTTGTTTTTAGCCAAGCAAATTTATGGCAAACATCATTTCTTTTTGCTTTATCTGAACATGTTATTGCCTTCTGGGAGAAACGTTTTCTCTGTTTTTCATATAAAAATAAGTCATTCTTGGTATAAAAAATTTGGAAAATATGGATTTAAAGAGGAAGAAAGAAAACATCTACTTTCTTTTCTGTCACATAATTGCTATTGTTATTTTGGTATATTTCCCTCCATTTAATATTCAGTCACAATTATTTTCCATGTTATCGACAGTTCATCTTTAAATTTGCATTTCTTTGACTGCTAATTAAGTTCACACACTTTTCATATTTTCATAATTTCTGCAAATAATTTCAATGCTATGTAAAACTGGGCTGGGATCTATCACCTGGTGTAAATGGGCTTCCTCTTTCTGCTCTAAAACTCGGAGGGGGGGATACATAAGTACCTGGACTGCCTTCAAGGTGTCCAGTCTAGTGTTTTTCTGTTTGCTGGTTCGCCTTCAGGTTGTACCATTCCTACAGAGCAGTGAGCATAGTATGGTTACAGAGCTTGATGAATTGGGCAAACCAAATCCAAATCGGCTTGACAGCCCAGCACAGGATTAAGAACTAGAGTATCAGCAGAACGTTACCAGAAACTCTTCCACTAATGTCACAGCCCAACACAACCCCTGCTTCCTACAAAGGTAGCCACCCTCTTGATAACTATCAGCAGCAATTTGTTTGCCTGTTTCTCCATAAATGGACTCACAGTTCGAACACATGGCTCGGTCTTTTATCAGCATCATTTTTTCTGAGATATATCTATATTCTTCTAAGTGTGTATAAAGTGGTCCTTCTCAAGACAGTGTAGTATCCCACTGTGTGAATATACTTACAAGTCACTGACCCATTCTGCTATGGCAGGAGATTTTGGAAGTTTCCAGCTTTTGGCTACTGTGAATGGCGGTGCTATGAAATATTCCAGGACTTGTTTTCTAGGGACTACATGCCTGAGCTTCTGTTGGGCACACGTCTAGGAATAGAACTGCTGGGCCAGGGTCTATGCCAGGGTAATAAATCCTCAAATATGATAGATACTTACAGATTACAAAGTGCTTGCAACAATTTACTATGTTGTCATTGTTATATTAGAGTTCAGTTGCTGTACGACCTTAGTAATACTTGTGCTTTTTCCTTTTTCATTCTGATCATTCTAGTTTGTGTGTGATAGTATTAATCTGAATTCCTCTGATGATAAATTAATTTAAGCTCTTTTCATAGGTTTATCACCCATTGAACATGCTCTTTTATGGGGAATTTTTTTCAAGTGTTAGTTCATTTTTTGATTGAAATAACTGCTTTTGATTATTGATGTGTAAATGCTCTGTATTTGTTTATGGTATGAATTCTTTGCTGAAGGTATGCACTCCTACTCAGTTGCCTTTTAATAGTCATTCTTGAGTCTCTTGAGGAATATTGGTTATATCTTGATTTAACAATGTTTATCTTGTTTTTTGTTTGTTTGTTTGTTTTGTTTTTGGTACCGGGGATCGAACTTGGGACCTTGTACTTACAGGGCAGGCGGTGGAACCACTGAGCTAAATCCCCTGCCCAGTAGTGTTTATCTTTTACAGCTGCTTTGTGTTTTTAAAAGATTTTTGCTACGCCCAAGAGAGGAAAATTTTCTCCTGCATTTTATTCTCTGAACATCTTTTTGTGTTTGTTTTGTCCTCTACAATTAAATCTTCAATTCATATTGAATTTAATTTTGCATCTAAATTTGTAAGGTAGATTTAAGACAATGTTTTCTGTGATATATTCAATTGACACATTATCATTTACTGAAAAATAATTTTCTCCCTACCTAACAAATGCAAAATCATAATTTTTCTTGGCTTCTTTTGGACTTTTACAGCTCCTTGTGAATTTTGGAATGATTTTAAAATTTTATTTGATAAAGTAAAAACTGGTGGAACCTAAGTTGGGACTACATTCAGTGTATAGATTAACTTGTGAAAACTCATTATCTTTACAATATTAAGTCCATCTAATGTCATGGTATTCCTCCTCTTTAGATCTCCTTCACTTTCTTTCATCACTATTTTGTTACCTTTAGTATTAATATCTCTCGTTGCATTTTTCAGTTGTGTTTGATTATTTTGGTGCTGTTATAAATATTTGTAATTTTTATTTTCTACTTTGTATTGCTTACTTGCCACAAAACTGTCTGTTACAGAATTAAGATCCATTTTGATTATGGGTTCACCTAAATTAGTGCAGAGCTTTTAGCTTTTTTTTTTTTTTAGCTTTTTCTAAAAACTTTTAAAATGATTTATCCAGTTACTGTTTTAAAAACACTTCAGCTTCCCAGAATATTTATCCACAGGAAATATAGCAACTCTGATCCTTCTTTCATGTAGCCATGTTTGCTTTTGTCTATTTGTAAGATTTTTGAAGGGAAGGACATTATTTTTTATCTCCAATGCCTAATGTAGCCCAGGTACCCATTAATCTCTATTAAACAATCAACTAAAAAAAAAAAAAAGAAAACAAAACAATCCCCAAAGTGTCATAGTGACAGAGATGTATTAAGTAAAATCATTATCCTAAAATCTGTCTTTAAATATTCATCTCCCAAGATTTGCTTTTATATATACCTTATTTTGGTCTAACTTGAAAAGTTTAATATATGTACAAAAATCATCCATTCTATAAGAGACAACTTTATAGTTGTCTTTTATAAGAGACAAATTTACAATAGTAATGAGCAATAGTTTATTGATCAATGCAATATAAAATACATATTTTTATTAATTTTAAACTTAAAAATACTCCACTAAAGAAATTGAGTGAAGAGAAATTGAAATCTTAATTTCATGTGTAGGTTAGTTCTTGGACATTTTTCTGAAGACAGAGAGATACATTTTTTTTTTATATTAACAATAGTCATTGTTTATCCAAAATGCAAATTTACCTGGGCAGCCTGCATTTTAAGTTGCTAAATGGACAACTCTAAATATATTATTTTTAGTGGTGGAATCTTTTAAGACCACCTACATTACACAGTGTTCTGTGAAACACTACTTTTTCCTCCACATCTAGGATGAAAACTTTAGTTGTAGTACTTACAGAAAACTAAATCTAGGCAAGGGTATCACTTTGAAAGTCAGAGGAAGGATGACTAAATTTAAGTACAATCTTTGAAAGTTGGTTTGCTTCAGTTGGCCCTCAAAAGGAATTTTGGGAGACAAATAAACATTTAGGTAGCAAGTGCTTAGGTATTTGAACTACCTGACAAAAGAAATGTGATTCTGAGGGTAAATATGATGAAGTCCCAACTAGGCCAACTATAGCTTTGCAATCTTAATACAAATTTAAGGAGAAATGCTATGCAAAGCAAATTATTTCTTGAATAATAATGAACCAGTGACTAATAATTGTCTGGATGCATAGATGTCTCGGGGAACTTGTTCTAGAGTTTCCTTAACTCTGTCTTTGAGAGGGCAAAACAGAGCATGACTTTTTTGTCTAAAACCAATCTGTTCGCGTTTCTCCCATGGAAGGTGACAGTACTGTTTCTTCCACCTACATTACAGAGGCAATGAAAGAAATGTTGATAATATGTAGATGATGCTAATTTATCTCTGTTATTCCCATATATCACTTTTTATTAACGTGAGCATGTTACTATTTCTTTCTTTCAGCAAGTCCGAGTAGCTAGGATAAGTCTCATCTAGCATCTCCTCAGTCCATGCTTCTTAGACCCTAAGAACAATATGCAGAAATAAAAGGGGACTTTTAAATGAACCTTCATGGTGTAAAGCTAAGAATCAAAAGAAAAGGTACCCTCCTTATGGACGCTTTTCAAAATTCCTTTAATATTTCAAACACGGACACCAGTTTAAGAAATAGTTTGGAGAACACAGAACAAATAAAGTTGGATTTGCAAAGAATTTTCAATGAGGCATTTCTGTTAGTATGAGCCAAATAAGACCATAACAAATTAAGGTTATGAATTAGGCCTTTTAAAACATAATTAGACTGGCTTGAGTGGCCAGGATTAAATTAGAAGATATTCTGGTCTGAGATTGGAAGCAATGAAGTAAAAAAGCTTCACTCTTGATAGAGTTACAGAGTGATAAACACAGTAACAGTCTTTATTAATTAGTGAGACTCTTTCATTTTCGGAACCTAAAATAATTGGGCTTCAAACACACCTACATGTAAACCTGACTCTGCCCCTGGTACGCTGCCGTGAGGATCTAGTTCCATAAATCTATATTGTTTGCTTTTATTGAATGAAGCTAATTCATTTTTCCATCTGTGTTGTTAGCGTCGACGATAGAAAAGGACGTGGTTCTACCATCTGGGCTTCTCTTTTTATAATTTAATGATTCTCTTTGTGTGGCTAATAAAAACAGGGAGGGGAGGCTATCAATATTTATTTCTCTCATTGTTCCCTGGGAGCTTTGTCTCATGGCTCCTCCTTTAAGTTAAACCACAGAATTGTTCCGGGCTATTTGGGCTGCTGGTCGTGAGTCCCGAGTACACACACCGTCTCTGCAATCTTTCCCTGCATTTGATTTTGCAGGGCGCGTCCTTCTGTCTTGTGATGGTCGAACAAGGTTTTTCAAAGCCAAAAAAGCAAAGGCAACCAGGGACCTAAATAAGATGACGTGTACTGTACCAACATTCTGGGTAAACACCAGCCTCGCACAACTGCTGCTTTACAGAAATAAAAGGTGCTCCTCAGAAAAGGGAAGGATCCAGTGGTGCAGGCCACAGGGTTGCATTCAACTCTGAGACACAAAGACAATGGGCAGAAAAAAAAAATGAGAAAGTTTCATGAGAACTAAAAAGAAAAAAATTGAACCTCTGCATTGGGCCATAGCCATAGACTTCTGTATAGAGAATGATCCATTCACGCCAAAGGCCTCAACCTTAATTTACCGTAATGCAAGTTCTTCATTTTACAAAGTGTCTTTCATCACATTGACCTGAAAGTTCGTAATAGGCATCTGAATTGAAAATAATTGTTCAGAAACATGAAAGCTGGAAGCAGAAGGAGGGGGAAGAGAAGTAGACCAAACTGTTTCCTTTGAGGTTTAATTTTGTTCACAGCACAAGGCAGCGTCAGTGCCTGCTTTCCTGCATGCTTTCTGGTTTGCAGAAACTACCTGGAAAGTGGAATTTCAGTGGAACGCATACACAATGCACCCTGAGTCTCTTTAGGTGGTGTATCTTGTGGATTCACAGGGTCCTCAGAAATGTGCTCTGCAAGGCCCTTCTAGACATAGGTCCTGGACCACTTGGCTCGCTCCTGATCCACTGTGTCTACAACTGGGTCGGTCTGAAGGGTATCTAGGCTGAGGCATTGCGGGTGCCTTAGTGGGCTTTGTAGCACTGCCCATGTCTATGGTAAAATAAAAGTGGGACAAAGATCTAAATATTAAAACAAAACCACTTAACCTGCTAGAAGATAAGATAGGTGGACCTCTTGATGTCACACCTGTGGGCAAAGACTTTCTGAACAGAGCCCAACTGCACAGAAATAACATGAGCATCAGCAAATGGGATTCTCTCCAATTAAAAAGCTTCTGTACTACAAAGGAAACAAAGAAGAGTGAAGACCAAACCTACAGCATGGAAAAAAAAATTTGTTTGCCAGCTACACTTCAGATGGAGGACTAATATCTAGAAAATATAAAGAACTCAAAAAGATTAGACCTCTCCAATAAAGACCCAATCAAAATGGGCATCTGAATTGAATAGACCCTTCTCAGAAAAATGCTGACAGCCCATATATACACAAAAAATATTCAGCATCGCTGGCCACTGGGGAAAGGCAAATTAAAACTACAATGAGATTCCATCTTACTACAGAAAGAATGGCCTTCATCAAGAAGTCGAATATTACAAATGCTGCCAAGGCTAGAGGAAAAAGGAGCCTTTCTGAACTGCTGGTAGAAATATTAACTAGTACAACCACTGTGGATACCAATGCAGAGATTCCTCAGAAAACTAAAGCTAGAAATTTCATTTGACCCAGCTATTCCCCAACTAGTTGTCATCCTAAAAGAGCTAAAGGCATATTACCGTGATCCATGCTCATCCACGTTTGCAGCAGCACAATTCACAACGGCTAAATCTCGGAAGTGGCCTCTATGTCCAGATGAATGGATAAAGAAAGCGTGGTGTTTACCCACAGGGCAGCGCTACTCTACCATGGACCGGGATCAACTGGAGTCACTTGTGGGAAAATGGCTGTGCCTTGAGACTGCAATGTTAAGTGGAATAAATCAGACAGGCAAGCTTAAATAGTGCATGCTTTCTCTCATCTGAGAAACCCAAAGTATAAATAAAGAATAAAATATTAGGTAGATAAAAGGAAAACAGGAAGATAGATGGACTGTACATGGGCAGGGGACAGGAGATGAAGGGAAGGGAAGGGATGCGTGAAAGGAGGTAGCATGTATGATGTGTGTGCCCCAAATACCCACAACGAAAATATTATTATGTCCTAAAACATGTACTGGTAAGAAAATTAACATCTAAAATGTGCATGAATTTTCTCATCTTCTCCCAAGGACCAAGGAGGCTCAGTGCCTCCTGCTGCCTCCCACTAAATGGAAACTGTAATTGGAAGCAACTGCTTGGAATAAAAGAAATGCCTTATCCTCCTTCATCATGAGAATAAAGAAATTCTTAAAATCAACATTCTTCTCTGTCTTGTAAACATCTAAGGTGCTCTTGACTGTGCAAAGAGGTGTTTTATCCTGAACTCTGACAACTTACACGTTTCCTGGAGTAGCATGTGACACTGGCCTTTCCTTAGTGTTTTTTTGTGCTAATCTGTATATTCTCAGTGTGAAAACAACCTTGTACGTTCCTTTGGATGCTTTAACTACATATGGAAGACATAAAATCAAAGCAGCGAGGAGCTGGGGGTGTGGCTCAGGATTAGGGTATCTGCAAGGCCCTGGGTCCAATCTGTGGCGTCACCACCAAAGGAAAAACAAAAGAGAGAGAGAGAGACAGAACACACATAAAAACTTAAAATCCATTCACAATAGCATTACTTGAAGTCACTGTTAGCATTTTGTGCAATTCTGAGATTATTTTTTCTCTATTTCTGTATGAATCCACACAAACTGTTTGCATTTTTTAAAAACTAGGTTACTATGCTTCTTATACCCTTGTAATCTGCTTTTGGTTGTTGTTCTATAACACACCATAAATACCTAAAACGGCTACAGTCCCATAACATCTTTCAGTGACCATAAAGTGTTTCCTGGTGTGGTGGCACCATGGTTTAATCAGCTAATTCCTCTTTTTCTGAACATTTTTATGGTTTTGAGATTTTCCACCATTATATACAACGATGTTAGGAAGCTGCATAAAGATGGGGTGACACCTTTGGGTTCGTACTGATGTCCTCTTTAAGATGAATTGCTACAAAAGGAATTACTGGGTCAGAAGATGTGGATGTTTTAAGGCTTTTGTTGCATAATGTCGAATTCCCCTTCGTGTAGCTGCAGGTCAGTTCAATCTCCCACCAACGCTGTGTGAGTGAGGACCTGGTTCGCTGCACCATCAGTGCCACTGGTTTTTATTTTGAAAGCCACAGGGCGCTTCTGGATGCACCGTTTTTGTTGAAGCTATATTTCTTGCTTTTCTCCCCGGGCTCTCGGAGATTGGTGAAGCATTCACATCTTACTGGGTTAGGGCGAGAAAGTCAGAACTCTAAGAACAGACCTCTGTGGAATGAGAATGGAAAAGTTTTTACTGCATACAAGATAATCACCATGACTAGAATGAATAGAGTTTAATTCTAAATTTTTTGGAATGTTTTAAAATGTACACACAGGAATGCCTTTTTTGCGTTTTGGCTTTGGCTGTTGAAGAGCCAGTGACAACCTTCATTGCATCCTGATTGCTTTTCTGGATTCTCCTCCTGATATGTAGTTATGGGAAGAAGTGGGGTCCCCAGTCCCAACACATCCCCAAACAGCTGTGGATAGTCACGTGATTTGGCCTTGGCCAATCAGATTCACTGTCCTCGGCTTCTTTTGCTTCTTACAGGAAAGGTTACCGATCAAGGCACTTCAGTAGCTATGGTAACGTCTCCATGGCTCCTTCTAAGTCTGTTCTCCCCAAGAAGTTGCAACAAACTTCAGAAAAAATTCCCTTCACTTAAAGTTGTCTAAGTCAGAATTCCAACTACATACTAATAATGCGATTATGAAAAGAATTTGTGAATGCTAAGTAATCGTTTGTTATATCACCCCCTTAAATCGTTTCTTTTCAGCACTATGGAAAAATGTATGTTCAAAATCTGTTTTGGGAGCCTTTCCCAGAGCTGTGCAGTGGTGACAGAAAGCTGATACCAGCATCTACCGGCCTGGCCCATTGCAACACCACGACGTTGTACTCTCTGCCTCTGTGGCGTCTCCTTTTTCATAAGGGAATTACCTTACGTTCTTTCAGTGTGGAGCAAGGATGAGAAAATAGTAGGGGACTTTCCTCCACCTTGCTAAGGTCACTGCAAATAACCACAAATCTCGAGAGATAAGAGCTTCAGAATCACAGCCAAGACTACCTACAAATTCTCTCTTATTTTGTTCCATCCTCTTCTTCTTCTAGTTTTCCTCTAATTTCTTGATTTCTGTTAACAAGATGAAAGTGTTTTGAGCCAAACTGCAAAAGTGTGTGCCCAAGATTGTTTAGCCAGGCTTCCCCCAATAAACATTCACCTCTCAAACTAATGTTTTCTTTCTGACTTGGAGTACAATATTAATCATGAATGTAGCAGTAATTAAGTTCTTTTTTGATTAGTGTGCATCTGTAGCGCGTGTTTATGTTCCTTGGGTGGAGTAGGTACAAGTACGTAGCACATCTTAACACCTTTTCATTTCTCTTCCCACCCTCCTTTCCTTCCATCTCTGGATCCCCTTCTCATTTGAGAAAGATCTATCTCTCTACTTCCTGTTGTCTGCCTTTCTTTTTGCTCTTTATTTATAATTTGAGTTTCTCATACAAGGAAAAGAATATGATAATTAAGTTTGTGTGTTGGATATTTCACTCAACATTATGGTCTCAAGGTGCATCCATTTTGCTACAAATGGTTCAAGTTTATCCTTCTTTATGACAGCTATTAAGTGGTTTTGCTTGTGAAGCATCATGGTATATGCTCTTTGTGTTATCACACTGGATCCTCACAATAACCCTTCAATAATAATAAAAGCGGCAATGATTATAGCAGGAATCGTATACTATCATCCACATTTTGTAAGTAGGGAAGCTGAAAGGAGAGACGTGGAAACCTGTCTCAGTGTACACAATAGCAGCATGATTAGCCTGTGTCTTTTCGGTGTATGTTTCACGGATAATAAGAACAGAAAATTTCCCCAAACACTTTGGTGATTTCATCAGATTCTTCAAAGCTCTTTTTTCTCTACTAGAGAAAGGCTTTGTTGGTACTATTTGGACCTGCAGGCTCCTCAAGGTACTTTTTATGAAATGCGAGGTTACTTTTAATTCCTTTCCTATAAATCAGATAAGATTTTGAAAGCCTGTACCGAATCTGTGGAAATAACCTGGCAATTGGGTGGAACGAGGTGTCTGCTTCTCAACCTGGAGTAGTTTTGAGGTGCCTGGAATCTGATCACTAGCTTGTGTCTTAGGTTCCTGGTACCCACTGACCCCGCAGGACTGGGATGTGAACTTAGCAAGGAGAAAGTGACAAAAGCCAGTAATGCCAGTGAAGGAAACCAGCAGGTAGGGATGTGGGAGTCTTCTAGGTCCTTTGGGTTATTTTGCTCTTGCATGCACTTCTACTTAGTAATTTTCCAATCCTACAGACCCCGAACCAGCCACTGAACTCCCAGTGTCCCCTCTTGTAGGTCAGGATGTGGACAACACCTTTGCTGGCTTGGGAAAGAGAACACCCTGCTGATAGTCTGATATTCTGCATTGGCCAGAGGACAGGCAGAAAGTGGCTCGATACTTCACATTATTTCTCTCTTGTTTTTGTTCCTGGGGTGAAAACTTGCAGACAATACCCTTTCCTCTGTCACATTCTATGCACAGTGTGCTGCGCACAGGTGGAGATTTTTGTGCCAACCCAAGCCTCCACCCTTGCCCCCTTCCGTGTGCTCATCTGTGTGGGTGAGGCTCCCTCGTGACACAGTTTTGTGTATTAAGTGAAATTTCAGGCCTCTGTTTTCATTTCAAATTCAGTGTCTCGTGCTTAAAATTTTAGCAGACTAAGTGGAATTGGTATAACTATTAGTAGTTACTGAAAGATGTTTACTGTGCATACTGTGTTAGACATAAAAAGCCCTAAACATGAAGACTAAATGCCTACACACAGAAAAATGTAGCCAAAGGTCTTAGGTTTATATTAACCATAGCTGCTGTTCCTGGCATTTCCTTTGCCTTTCTGATATCTCCAATCACTGAGACAAAACTGTCACTTCATAGTTTCTTTCAACACTTTAACAAATAAATGTGTATCCTCTCCCTCCACTCATACGCAAAAGTCTTAAATGTATGGCCAGTCCTTCAGAAATGAAAAAGAAATCTTCTAGACTTAGTAAGATCCAATGATGGTGTTCAAAAAAATA